TATATATATATATATATATATAGTTACACTGCAGTAGGTCTAAGCTGCTGGGTCTATTTATAGACCACTCTGTGTTTAATTAATAATTATTAATCTCTGGCTTCCACAGCCTCCCTGAGCCTGGTTCTGCCAGAGGTTTCTTCCTGTTAAAAGGAAGTTTTTCCTTCCCCCGTCACCAAAGTACTTACTCATAGGGGCTCATATGATTGTTGGGGCAACTGTTGCTGCGATTTGGCGCTATAAAAATAAAATGCAACTGAACTTAACTGAATTAGATAACTGCAATATAACCATAATACCATAACAAAAAGACAACATGTCGAGATTTCAGAATACAAAGCTATAAAACAAATATAAACAAAATCAGAGAACCCCTAAATATCCCCAAACTCTAAATCCTGGGTCAACGACCCAAGGGCCATGACGGGTACAGCGGAAGAAAACGCGTGGTAAAGTCTCTGAGAATCACATTACCTGAAGGCTGCAGAGGCAGATCATGCTGTACATCATCTGGGTGACACAGAAACAGTGGCGGAAGTTGTGGTAGGGGTTATTCCTGTAGTTGTCATGGATACACAGCTACAGTGAGAGAGAAAGCAGCAGTTTCATCACAGAAATTCCCTAAACATAAATATTAGCTTTTGGAAATTATTTCTTTATTTTCTGTTCAGGTAAGGTTTATTTTATAGAAACAAGGTAGAGCCAACTGTACGGGGTCAAGGTCTCACCAGCCATCTTTTCAGTGTGATGGGATTTATATTAAAGTCTCTGACCAAGCCCAGGTCATGGTACATATGTTCTAGACAGCTCAGCATCTGGACAGCAAAGGAGTTTGTTAGTGCAGAGTATAGGATGTTATTTTTGGCTTATTCTTAAAATTCAACAGATGTTACTGTCCTTTAACAATTTAACATAAAACTAAGTATAAATATATAATTATGTATAATTATATAGTCATTTATATTATTATTATTATTATTTTTTAAAAATGAAGTGCATTTGTTTATGTTTTGGATATATTATTATTATTATTATTATTATTATTATTATTATGTTTTCAGGCATAGGAAAGAATTTTGATCTCAAGTTTTACCATAAAATCTTCTGCTTTGGACCTGATCCAGGGATGTTTACTGTCCTAGCATAACTGACTAAACTTCTGTAAAGCAGGTTACATTGTTGGAAACATAGGGAACATCACAATCAAAATGGGAACAAGAAAGACTTATTAAACTGCTCATCCCAAGTAAGGCACAGTTGTAGTCAGGTGGTGATAACTCTGTGGACTTCTCTTTAAGTGATAATGTCCGTCTACTTTCTTACTTTAAGCCATGACTCAAAAACAAGTGCTAACTAGTTAACAGTCAGAAAACTGTTAAAATCACATTCACTGGCTAATCACCCGTCATTGATAAATAAAAGAATCAATGTATTAATCTCACCTCATTGGGCTCCCACTGCCAAGCATCAAACGTAGGCAATCTAAGAGCTTCCATTGTCTCCTTAGACAGATGGCACTTGACACACACACAAAGGACAACAGGACACACAGGAGTCACAAAGAGAAGAAGAGAGGAGAGACACATATTGTGGGTGATGTGGGTTCACTGCCTCCACAGGTCTGCTGTGACAGCATGCAGTGCAAGCAGCTGATTTGCAGTTAACCCTGTTTACATCTATCTGGCTTGGGGTGCATAGTAAGTAAGCATGGATCATAAATACGATCCACACTCATTATACTCTTTACACATTCAAACTAAGAGACAGCGACTCTATCCTGATCAGTGTTAATAAAGGTGGCCAATCTCTGAAAATTAGACACATTAAATTTTGTCTTCACAAATTTCATCTCCATTTGTGGATTTGTGATTTGAGCACTGTGGAGGTGTGACGGACATAAAATGGAGTAAAAGCCTTACTTTGGGGTCAGAGGGAATGCAAGGACTCCGCTTCTTGTTGTCATCCAAAAAATTACTGAAAAGGAAAAAAAACATCACAACAGTTTATGTCTGTAATATTAATCATAATACAAAAGACCATTTTATTAGCATAACCTTCATCATTTACATGAACTCCTAATTATTTCTGTTAGTGTTGCTGCTCCATGACATTAAGTCAGAGGGACAGCTCTGTCACAGTTCTGGGTCATGTTGACCCAGCTTTCTGTTTTTCATGCTTTGGTGTTTTTCTAGATTATGATTTATGATTTGATTTATCAGTGATACTGTTTTGATTATGATGATTATTTAGTAGGCTTTGGTCAGTGTCAAGTCTGTCTCTCTCTGTCTAGTCCGTGTCTTAGTAAAGTGTGTTTTGTTTCCTGTTTTACTTTGAAGGTTCTTGTTCCTGTCTGATGTCAGTGTTCCGGCTTTGCTCTCCCTGTCTCGTTAGGTCTTATTTCTCCCAGCTCTGTCCCCCTTCTGTCTCTAATTCCTTGATGACTCCCTCAGTGTATTTAAGCCCAGTGTGTCTTTGTGTCAGCGTTGCGTCGTTAATGTCTGTTCACCTTCACTTGCTCTGTGTTCATGATTTCCAGTCCTCCTGCATCTCAGTTTAGAGTTTTGTTTGCTTTTGTGAGTTTTATTTTATGTTGATGTTTTGTTCCAGCAATAAAGCTGCATTTTCAGTTGAAACCTCGTTTCCTAAGAATCCTGCATTTTGGGTCCACCACTCCTGCCTGCCACACAGCCGACCATGACAAGCTCAGGTTGAGCAAATTGGATATTAAGCAAAAGAGGCAAGTTTGGATGGTTTGTCCTGAAGGAGGACATGCAGATGATTGGTGTGACCATGGAGGATGCCAGGGATCGGGTAGGGAGAAGGAAAATGATCCACTGTGTTGACCTCTGAAGAAAGCAGCTAAAAGAAGAACTGTTGCTGCTACATGTACTACTATTAAGGTTAAATTAGCCAAACAAATTACAAATAGTAGTTGACTGATTTTATAATGACTGATTAATTGTTTTTAATTGTTCCAATAGTGCATTAACTATCACCATCACTGGGCTTAGCACACTAATACTAATGTGTCATCTTAAAGGAGCAGAGAATTCATTGTGTTGCTGTTACCTGTTGTTTCTGGATGCGATCTCCTCACTGAGCTTCTTGATGTCATTGCGACACTTCTCAATCTCCATCACCTTCATCCCCTCCACTGCAGACAGAGTTATTCGTTAAAACCATGCCAGACCTGTAAAGTTAGCATTTGCAAGGTATTGTGTACAACACTTAACTTCAGTGACCATTCTTGCTATGAAGGATTGCAGCAACATGCTCAGTCTATGCTATAGTTTACACTGACCTTTATTCATATGAGGGAGCACGAGCAAAGGAAGAGCATTTCTGAAATAACTGTATCGCTCTCTTTATAACAAACTGAGGTTATTGTACTCGGCCCTGAAAAGCTTAGAAATATGGTATCTAAGCAGATTCTTACTCTGGATGGCATTACCTTGGCCTC